AGCCCATTGTCCTTAACAGCAGGGAGTGGGCCCCTCTTGTGCTGGGACCAGACAGCTGCCTGCCTTCAGGGAGCTAACTTGACAATCAAGTACCATTAGCTGCAAACAGTGTCCTAAGTCTCACATATATTTGGGGGAGACGACTTGGGAGAAATCTTTGTGTTTCCCACAATTGGTCCTGAGTGGTTTATCTGTCCTGGATTCTGTGTACCAGTGTGCATGCTGTGGTCTAGACAGATTTGTAAGGTAGATCGTGGGGGGGGTGGGTAGGAAGCATGAAGGAACTAGAGGAATCTTGTGCGTTCCGTCGGTGCTATGCTGCACCCTGTTCCAGCCCTTTATTGATGGAATATCAATACTCACCACAGTCCTGAGACTTATGTACTAGGCTCCACTGTACAACCATGAAGGAGCCCCGATGATGCAGGGGGTTAAGCATTAAGCTGCTAACCGCAACGTCAGCGGTTCAAACCCACCAGCTGCTCTGAAGGAGAAAGATGAAGTGGTCTCCTACTGAAAGATTTACAAAGGGCATTTCTAGTGTGCCCTCCTTGGTCACTCCCAGTGAGACCAAACGCCATGACGGCGGCTGGGTGGAGTCAGAAGAAGGTAAGGGGCCGAGGTTTCCTGCCCAAGTCACCTATGTTGTCAATGGCTGAGTTGGGATGGAACTTGGGCCTCCTTCCTCCACATATCATACCCCACGTGGCCCCACCTGAAGGGTCTGGTCACCTGGGGGGAGCTGGAGGGATTGGGTGCTTGATGCTCATGCTGTGCCAGTCACCCAGACCCCCAGAAGGTGGGGACCTCATGAGCTACTGAAACCCAGGGTGGGACACAGGACGCCATTGCTGCCCACCTGACACCTTCTTTGCTTTATAACCATTGTCTAGAGAGATCGCTTTTTCCTTCCGAGATAACCGATTGCTAAAATGAGTTGCAAAATGCAGGGCTTTAGGGAAGGGGAGGTCCTTGGGGAGGGGAGGCTTTCCTGGTGCCTGCATCCCACTGGCTCCCACAGATGGGGGGCCAACTCCTACCACTGGTGCGGAGCGGAAGGGGTTTCTGATGTAGGAAAGCCACGCTTTGCTTGGCTCCGAGTTGTTCTGCGGCATGGCCCACCCATTCTTCCTTCTACTCCTCTCTCTCACTGGGGACCTCACGCCCACCCACGTCTGATCCATCACCGCCCTCACTTATCCCCACCCCTGTCTGTTCTGCCACCAGCCAAGCCCACTGTCCTCTGGACCTGCCTTCTTAATGTGCACTTGACACCTGCCGTCTTGCAAAACAGCAAAATGCCTTTGCCGGTCAGCGGGTCGGTTGGCTCCTTGAAGGTGGATTGGAAGCGATAGGAGCTTGTTTGGAAAAATGACACATCTGTTTTGCTCTACCCTTGTCAGGGTCATCTAGGACCAGGACATTTCCATGGTCCTCCATGTGGCCAATCTGCTCTTAGCTCCTGCTGTTCCCCCCTACCCCCCACCCTCAGTCCGATCTTTGAAAGGTGAATCTGACCACGTCCTCTCCCCTCACCCCAATGGGCCTCCTTTCTTTGGCAGCTCTGGGAAGCTAACCAGGAGCCCTGGGGGTGTAGTGGTTACTCACTGGCCTGCTAACCACAAAGTCAGCAGTTCGACACCACCCATCATTCCTTGGGAGAAAGGTGAGCCTTTCTATTCCCTTAAGGAATTACAGTTTCTTAAAAAGCCACAGGGAGGGGCACTTCTGCCCTGTCCCATCAGGTTGCTTGCTGGCAGCCAGGTTTGTAGTTTTTTCTGCAGGACGCTGGCACACATGCAGAGGGACAGTGCTGGGACCAGAATGTTACGTGTCTATTTCATTTCAGTTCAGTTTGCTTCCTGATTGGAGGCCCCCCATCCTAACTCCATTAAATGATGTGGCCCCTTCCTGAGGTTCCCCCTAGCCCCGAAGCCTGGGGTCTTCATTAACTAGGGTCACTCCTGTCTGCCAGGGCCCGTGTGCCTCAGTATCCCCCATCCTTACTCCCTGGCTAACCTAGCCCCCTGGTCATCTTGAACCTCAGCTTGGTTCATTGTTTTCTTGAAGCGTATCTTCTTGGCATGAGAGGTGATTACATTAAAGTGGAAGACCCACTGTGTTTTAAAGCATTGGTTTGTCCTCTGATCCTTGATTGACAGCTTTGGGAGGGACAGGCCTGGAGGCCTGAACTTCACGAGCCCCCAGCCCTGTGGAGTCTTCTCTCCCTGGGCTTCCAGTGGGTCTGCTGTTGGGAAGTCTGATGACCTCTGTTTGTCCTTCTATGTACAACTCAATTCCTTTTGCCCCATACCTAGAGCACCACCACCTAAGTGGTATGCATTTAAAATGCAATCGTAATGTTGAGTCTCTGGCAGGTACAGACGCCATATGCTTATAGCTCTTCCCATTAGAAAAATCCAATCAAAATGTTAAATGAGGTATGACCTGTACACACAGACGCCCAGCCCAGCTCCCCAGGAGGGCAGGTTCCTCTCCTTTGGCAACAGAGTTGAGGCCTGGAGTCAGCAGCTCCCTTTCTGCTGACTCAGTCTCCCAACGTGCCTTGCCGAAAGTCATTTGCACAGATTTATAAACCTGCTCTTTGGCCTCTTTCTCACTCGCCTGTGACGAGCAGACCTCTGCCCGATGCTCGGCGGTAACCAAGAACTGAGCCTGGGGTGGTGATGGGGCTCTTCCAGCATGCTTACCTACTGGAATTGAGATCCTCTCATAGAGAGCACACAGCCCCAATTCTTTCTCAACTTCCGGTGCCAATTCCTCCCAGCAGGCTCAGAGGCAGCAGAGAGAGCAGAGACTCAGCTGTTTCTTGGGTGACGGTTCAGAGAAGTTCTGACAGGCGAATGGAAACCACGAGTTTTAGTGCCTACGTTCCTCGTCCTGATGGGGGAGTCACCCGGGGACCTGGAGAGACTAGAGAGCCCTGGGCCCTATTTGCAACCTGATGAATCAGAACTGCTAGGGGGAGGAGGCCAGGGATCTGCTTTGGGGGGACTTTGGGAACCTAGGTTTTAGTGTGAGCATGCCTTCCCACCAGGATGGATTAAACAAACAAACAAACAAACAAACAAACTCACTGGTATCGATGCTGGCTCATAGTGACTCTATAGGACCTAGTAGAACTGCTCTTGTGGGTTTCTGAGACTGTAACTCTTTACATGAGTAGAAAGTTCTTTCTCCTGAAGAGCAGTTGTTGGTTTTGAACTGCTGATCTTGCAGTTAGCAGCCTAATTTGTAAACACTTTGCCACCAGGACTCCTCAATGGATAAGATGGCTGCATTATATATATATATATATATATATATATATACACACACACACACAAGAAGGCTTAAGACTTGCCCACATGGGAGTTGCAAGTGTGTGCGTGTGTACTTTGATTACATTTCAGCATCTGGCATTATCCAGCTATACCGCCTATACACACAAGAAGGCTTAAGACTTGCCCACATGGGAGTTGCAAGTGTGTGTGTGTGTACTTTGATTACATTTCAGCATCTGGCATTATCCAGCTATACCGCCTATACACACAAGAAGGCTTAAGACTTGCCCACATGGGAGTTGCAAGTGTGTGTGTGTGTACTTTGATTACATTTCAGCATCTTGCATTATCCAGCTATACCGTCCCACTCCTTCCCTGCAGATCTGGCTGCAGGTGGCAGGTTCTGCTACACCTGGCTGGGACTTGGAGGCTAACCCCTGTTTCATGCATATACCTGCAAGGAGGCCGTGGGACCCTGTTGCTAAGGATGAGGAGTGAGGATGGGGTTACTGGAGATGGTATTTGTCATTGCTTGATGGGAGGTCTTCAGGGTGCTGGAGGACATCCGTGGATACACTGTGTCCACATCAACTGTGAATGTGGATCCCACTGGGCTTTTGTTCTTATTGGGATGAGGAGGAGAGAGAAGGAGGAGGTTGTAAGGATTGCTACAGATGGAAACTTCTGGATGCATCGGTTTGCTGGGCTTTTCTTGACCAGAGTTGCCTAGGCGGGTCTCTGCGGCCACTCATGGCCTCTGCTGAATCTGTCCTGGGCCCCGTGAAGCCTCCGTTTCACATCCCGCCCTCCATCCACTTGCGCCGTCCTTTGACTGGGCAGGCCTGTGGACTGTACACGCTCAGTGGCTTCCTGCGGGCAGTCAGCTCTGGGGGAATCCAGGGAGTTTCTTCTTAGTGGCTTAGTCTAGTTGACCCTTCACAGGGGGCCTTGCTGGTGCAGTCATTCGCGCTTGACTGCAAACCAAAAGGCTGGTGATTCGGAACTACCCGCTGCTGGCCGGGCGCTCACTGCTGTCAAGAGGGCAGCTTTGAGGCCCCATGGGACAATTCCACTCTGTCCGTCAGGGTCGCTCGGAGTTGGGATCCACTCGTTGCCTGTGGATTTCGTGGCTTCTCTTTGGTCCCTGGAAGACTACACAGCTGTCAACCCCAGGGCTCCCTAAAGGACCCTGTTCCCCACCAGTATTCTGTACCCTGTGATTTTAAATATGCACAAAATAAGGTGCTGGGGTGCGGGGGCACAGGACACATGGGGAGAAAACACAGAGTTGCAGCCCCAGGAACCCTAGGGTGGGACTGGTCCCCACCTCCCACCCCAGGCCTGGGCTGTGAGGAGAGAAGTGGGCCCTTAGTACAGAGCAGGGTGGTCACCACCCACAAGTCTCCCTCCCCTTCCTGGGACTGGCCAGGGCCAGGGCCCTGTGTGCCCCACACGCGCCATCTCCTGCCTTTTAGGAGAGACTGTGCTTGGCGGCCTCTGCTCCTCCCTTTTCTTCCTCCCTCTCTTCTCCTTCCCCTCCCTCCTCTCATTCCCCCGCCCTCCCTCTTCCCCTTCCTCTGCCCCCTACTTTCCTTTCCCCTCCGTCCCCAGCCTCCCCCTCCCTCCTCTGCCAGCCCCTCAGTGGACACTGGAGTCACTTCAGTCATTCGGCACGGTTTACTGCTCACTCAGGAGACGCCTCTCCTTCTCCCTCAGGAAGAAGAGATGCCCAATGTGGAGATCGATATTGACGACCTGCTGGATGCCGACAGCGAGGAGGCCAGAGCTTCAAAACTACAGGTCAGTCGCCACTCTCAGACTTGCCAACCGCCCCATGGTGACTGCTTCCAGGCACTCGGGGCTCCTGCGCTTGCCACGGGTGGATGCTGCCCACGTCGGGCACTGGCTGCTCCACAGAGGGACATGCTGGGTGCTGCTATTGACGGTCTCTGGAAAGGAAGCCATCCTGACCACTCTCTGTCCCCAAAGAGCGATTGGCAGTTTGGGGCTGGATCATTCATGGAGTGAAGTTCTAGACGCTCTTGCTCAGAGCCCCCTTTTGTGTAGTAAGATGTTTTCTCTTTGAGGATGCTCACGGGCGGCTGTCTAGTACCGTGCCTCACAGATCCTTGGCCTCAAACCTCCACAACCAAGTTCACTGCCATTGAGTCGATACCCACACATAGCAAGTGACCTCATAGGACAGGGTAGAGCTGTCCCTGTGTTTCTGAGATGGGAGTGCAAAGCCCTGTGTTTCTCCAGAGGAGTGCCTAATGGTTTCGAACTGCTGACCTTGCAGTTAGCAGCCCAGCATGTAACCAGGGCTCCTGTCCTTAGTCTAGAGTCCTGAAATCTTCCCAGAGGGAGTCGGCTCTGCATCCAGGAGCTGAGAGCCAGTTGATCTCTGACCTGCTGTTATCCTTAATGCTCATGGATAAATACTGTTAGTGGCCATTGGCTAGCAGTCCCCCAGAGGCAAATGATCATGTAAAGCAATCAAAAGTCACATTTTAATGTATGAACATGTTTAATGTGCTAATAAGTATTAGCGTCCATAAGGTAGTGAACAGACTGTATTTAATGGTTTTCTTCTGGTGGCAGGATGACTTGGGAGATGTACCATCTTAGTTCTAATAGGTTGTTTTGTTTGGTTTTCATGAGATAAAGCAAAATGGCATCTGGTTAATGCAGTGGCTAAGACTGCTAACCTAAAGGTCAGAGGTTCGAACCCACCAGCCGTTCCAAGGGAGAAAGATGAGGTGTCTGCCTTGCATACCCTGGGGCAGTGCTCTGACCTAGAGGATCCTTAGGAAGTGAAATCAACTTAATAGTTATATAGTTTTTAGTTTGATAGAAAATGGAATGTCCTCAATAAAATGATTTTTTTTTAAAAGACAAGAAAATGGAATGACAGAAATGTTTCTTAAAATGCAGAACTTGAGAGGGAGGGCCTGAAGCTGTCTTCAAGTCCTGGTGCCCTGACCCCCAGGGAGGATCTGAGGCCAATGGAGGTGGTGTCACAGCTGGAGAGTGGCTTGACCCTGGGCAGACCCTCCTCCCTGTCCAGTGTGATTGCTGACACCTCTCACAGACTGTCCAAACTTTAGGTATCTTATACCAGCCTAATGTGAACCAAGTTGGCAGCTAATTAGGAAAGGCGCGCACATGTGTGTGTGTTTGCTTGTTCCTAAGAGTAAGGCATTCCTGCCTATTAAAGATACAACTTTTTCTATCTCCAAACGACCAACTGGTGCTAGAATAAAAAGTATGATTCTAGCACGCCCATCTAAAAACTTGGATTACCTGGTTTAAACTAACACTATAAAGATGAAAGCAATACTATGATTTTCAATTTCACTTTTAAAATGATATTTACTGGAAATAATAAAACCGACCTTTTTTGTGTTTAACCCTAGGAAGCGCTCGTAGACTGCTACAAACCAACAGAGGTAAACAAGTCTCTCTTCCTAAATGTCATGTCTGAATGCGTTCTTTATTAGATCATGTTGTCTATTTTTAAAGGTAAACCACAAGAAGTGGGCTTGATTATCTGTATGCTAAGTAGTAATTATTATTCTCCATGGGTGCATGCATTTGAATATTACTAGTTTCATTATTTCTAGGCCTAAACATGTTTGGGTCAGGCTAATGGAATTGGCTATGTCTCTTGCTCTTATGTCAAAACCAAACTTCCAAGGTCTGGGTAAAAGGATTTGGAATTGTATTAGGTTAAAGTCGGGCCTATATGCCTGAAGACTACATTCTATTAGGTTATAGAAATGGATTTAAAAAAAAACAACAACAAAGTCATATTTCTCTTTCAGAAGAATTCCCTTTACTGGGAGAAGACATTTTATACTCGGTTTGGATATATATTCAATGTATAGATATGAGTGTGAAAAATAATTAATATTAATCTGATTAGATCGACACATTCATTGTAGAAATAAAAATATTGGCCAAGCGGGTATTTTCAGCGATATCTGATAAATGGTTGGGCAGGTTTACAGGGAGGACTCGTGTGATCATAGCCAAGAAAGGCGATGGGTTTTGCCAAAGTATGATGTGGAGGAGGGACTGCTGATGGGCGGGAAACCGACTTGCACATGTGCTTTATTACGTATTGTTACTGTTCTTCGGATCTCCTCCTCCGCAGAGGAGTTCATGTCTCGATTTTGGGGGTGTCTTCGTTTCTTAGCACTGCCGTAACAGAAACGCCACCGGTGGGTGGTTTGAAAGAACACAGACGGGTTTGCTCCTGGGCTCAGAGACGAGAGAAGTCTGAAAGGAAGGTGCCAGCTCTGGGGGAGGCGCTTTCTGTGTGTCTTCTCTGAAGGCGCTCTCTCTCCATGTTCAGAGACCCGGTCCCTCGACTCCGTGCCCTTCTCCATGTGGCGCGCACCGTCCCCCGCACCCCCTGCATCTTCCTCTGGGCCTAGGCAACTCTGCGTGTATCTTAAAACTGAGGTGGCTGAAGCATTCCCTACACTGTGGGTCTCGTTAACATAACCAAGACAACCCTTTCCCTCAGGAGAGTTCATCCACGGGCAGAGGGATGAGGATCGCCACGCTTGCTTTTGTTCCAACAGAGATGTCCTGCCTTCACTAGCCAGTGCTGGCTCCTCACCTCGGAACAGAAGCCCCCTCTGGCCTCTGCAGAGAGCTTGAGAGACATGGGGGTGTCTGAGTGCCCCTCGGGATGCCGGGGTGCCAAAGGAAGGAGGGAGCATGTGGGCATTTACAGGTGAGCCCCTCCAGGTGCTGTGTGCTCAGAGGGAGCTCAGGGTTTCTAAGAAGGGAGCTGACCTCTAAGGCTCAGGCCTTTTCCTCGTTTACCGTGGAAGAGTCCTATGAAGAAAGGCCAGGCAGCCATGCCTTTGAGCTCACGTGGATGGACAGCCAATGTCGCCGTCACCTGGATTGTGGTGATGAACAGAATAGCCTCTATTGGGACATGATCCGTGGCGATGGTTTTGAAGCATTGTGGAGATGATTCATGCCGCTGAATTGGGCACAGGACTAGTGGTGAGGATGGCACCGGGCCGTTCCGTGTTTCCTTCTGTTGTGCATAGGAGCCCACTGGATGGCACCTGACAACGATCGCAGACCGAATTGCACATTTAAAACGGCAAAGTTTACATCGTGTGGTGTGTGTGTGTGTGTGTGTGTGTGTGTGTGTGTGTGTGTAGTAGGCGCCGACCAGTCAGTGCTGGCTCAGTTCTGTACAACAGCACAAAACCTGCCCGGTCCTGCACCGTCCTCACAGCCCTCTCATATCAGAGCCCATTGATGCCGCCCCTGTGTCACTGCGTCTCGTCTCTCCAAGGGCCTTCCTCTCTTTCGCTGCTCCTCTACCTGACCAAGCACGATGTCCTTCTTTGGGGACTGCTCTCTCCTGACCACGCGCCCAAAACACATGAGAGGAAGTCTTGGCATCCTCGCTTCTACGGCATGTGCTGGCTGGACTTCTCCCAAGACAGACTTGTTTGGCCTTTTGGCAGCCCATGATACTTTCACTAGTCTTTGCCGGCACCATAATTCCAATGCATAATTCCAATGTGTGTATATACGTGTATCTATGCACATGAATAAATATATATGTGTCAGACTTGTTAAATGAGACGAAAAACTAGAACGGTGTTTCCGTGCAGTGTTCTGTCGTGGAGGTCACACTCACGCACGCGGTCGTATTAGATCCGCATGACTGTCCTTTGCCGTGGAGAAGGTGTGGGTAGCTTGGAGAGCATGACTGGGAGCTAGGGGTCAGCACTGTGGTTCCTGATGTCTGACCCTGGCCTCCTCCTTCCCATTATGCGAGTCTTCCTGCTCTTTGAGTCGCCTGGAGATTGAGGACACTAAAGGGGTCTGACCCTGTGGTGGTGGTGGGGGTGTTAATACATTGGACTGCTAACCACAGATCACTGGTTCAAACCACCCCATGGAAGAAAAATGAGGCTGTCTGCTCCCATAAGGATTTGTAGTCTCCCAAGACCTTAAGGAGAAGTTCTACTCTGACCTATAGGGTCCTTATGAGTAGAGTTTGGGTTTATCCTGAGTCAAAATGCCTAATAATATTCTTTTATTAAGTACCCTTCTGTGGAGGTGCTTTATTTCAAGCAAAAGAATTTTACCTGCCACTATCATGCCATTTTGAAGTTAGACATGCAAGGAAGGCATCGTTGCAGATTCAGACACCTTTATGAACAGCCTCTCAGTGCAGAGGTGGTAGAATGGTATAGCACGTAGCTACTAACTGAAACGTTGGGAGCTCAAATGCACCCAGGGGTGCCTGGGAACAAGGCCTGGTGATCTGATCCTGAAAGGTCACAGCGTTGGAAACCTGTGGGGTCACCGTGGGCCGTGGACAGAATGGGCTGGATGGAGACACTGGGTTCAGTTTTTCTGTTTTATTGCAGGGGAAGTGTGGATGGTGGCAAGTGTAGTGGACTCTGAGTCAGGGTCTTGGGCACCTACCTGCACTGGCTGTGTGTCCTGACCTCTCTGAGTGTTCACTTCTGTTCCCCAACCACTTTTCTGCAACAGTAACCACCTCCCAGGGCTCTTGTTAGGAGTAAGGGCAGTGATGATAATGTCCGTGATCGTCATAGCAACAGTAATTTTTAAAACTTCATATACACTGTGAGGTGCCATTGAGTCCGCCTCCAACCCATAGCCATCCTGTGCACAACAGAACAAAACCAAGCCCTGCCCAGCCCTGCCCCGCCCTGACAATCGTTACTATGTCTGGACTCAATATTGCAGACACAAGGCCATTCAACCCATCGTTTCCACTTGCCTCCTTTTGCTAAGCATGATGTGTTAGTCTGGGTTGACTAGAGAAACAAATCCAGTACACTCACATATGTATGAGGGGGTACCAAAAAACCCGCAGAATTGCGCTGGGTAGAGCAGAGCTTTTATAGTATGTATTTTTCCCGCTAGGTGAGCATTAAGCAACTTGCTTTGAGTTAGTGGACCCAGTGGCGTCACCTGGGAAGGTTCTCTCTGGTTACAGTGAACTTTTTCATAAAAACAATTTCACTCAAACCTCATTTTTTTGTGATATCTGATTTAAGAGATCAGTGTCTGGATGTGAAATTTTGTTTCCTGCTCAGGAAAAATGCTGCAGAAACTGCTGTGCTGTGGAACACAGCTTACAAGGATGGCACTACGGGACCAACTCAAGTGTATGAGTGGTTTTCTCTTTTCGAAAAAGGTGAACTGTCAATTGATGACAAACCTCATTCTGGACCTCCATCAACTTCCCGAATGGATGGAAATGTTGACTTGTAGTGCATTGGGGTTCATTCCACCAGGTCAGACTGTTAATCCAGCTTTCTATTAAGAGATTCTGAAAAGATAGCATAGCAGTGTATGACCAAAAAGGCCTGATTTATGGCAGACGGGGGACTGGTTTTGCCGCCCCAACAATGTATCTGCTCACGCAGCCATCTCAGTGTACCCGTTTTTGGCAAAAAACAGCATGCCTCTCTTGCCCCATGCACCTTACTCACCTGACCTTGCTGCATGTGACTTTTTGCTTTCGTGAATGAAGAGGGACATGAAAGGACAGTGATTGGACGATGCAGAAGAGGTGAAAAACAAACAAAAACAAAACAAAAACAAGGAAGGTGCTGTCAGCCATCCAATCAGATGAGTTTGAAAAATGTTTCCAAGAATAGAATCGCAGATTTGACTAATGTATGAAGTGTAATGGAGAGTACTTTGAAGGTGATATGGTTGTTTTGTAAGCCATATTTTTATGGTTTATGGTTATGAAAACAACCATTGTTTTCAAATACATAGCTTTGAAAAACAAAATCCATTGTTTTGGGTACCCCTTCGTATAAGAGAGAGTTTTATATCAAGAAAACATCCCAGCCCAGGCCAACTCATGTACTTAAGTCTGATACTCGTCTGTAAGTCCCCCTTCAGACTCACAAAGCCACATACAATGATGCAGAACACAGGAAGATCACAGGCCAGTGGGTACAAAGTTATGTGGATCCAATGGCAGTGGTAACATCGCAGGCCTCCAGCAGCTCTGAGAGAGAGAGAGAAAGAGAGAGGCCAGCCTTCTGAAAGCTGTATCTCTCAGTTGTACCTCCAAGTGAGCTCCTCAGGCTGTGACCTGGTAGACAGGCTCAACTCCAGCCTTAACATTTTTAAACATCTTCAAGTTGACATGAAACTATTTAACTACTGCACGTGACGTCCTACAAATGATGGAGAGCCCCAGGCGGTACCGATGGTCAGTAACAAAAGAGTGGGGGTTTAATTTGCATCTGAAGGTCCCTTCGAAGCAAGACTTGTGGCCCTACTTGTGAAACATGAGCGATTGAAAACCTCGGTGCTTATGGGGTCACCACTAGTGGGGTGGACTTCGTAGCTACTGGTGGTGATGGGGGTGTGGTGTGGTGGTGGTGGTAGGGAGTGCGGTGGTAGGTGG